GCAGATTTGGTCAAACTGGAGGAGGCTATTTACCTGGGTAACTGAGAATAAAAGTGAAGAATGCTGATTGGTTGGTCGATTGTGGTGGTGGCCTGATAAAAGAGGTCTGAAGCAGTGAGAAAGAGAAAGATGGATTGAACCAGGGGTATCTTGAACTGTACAAGTGACGTCTTAGTAATAGAGACTCATTTAAGCTACAAGCTATTTCGGCCTTCCTCCAAATCATGGCAAACAGAAGTTTCGATATTAGACTGATTCCTGAATTCAGTGGGGCTGCTACCGATCTACCAATTGTAGAATGGATTGAAAATGTGGAGTTGGTTTGTGAACTCAGCGAGATGAAGAAAGTTGAGCAGGTACTGCCAATGTGATTGCAAGCTGGAGCTCTCTCTGTGTATCAGCAATTGACGTAGGACTAGAGGTCAGATGCAGAGCAAATTAAGCAAGCCCTTATAACTGCATATGCGGTGGATTCATTCACTGCATATGATCAGTTTGTGTTACAATGATTTCGGCCAGGAGAAACTGTAGATGAATTGTTAGCAGAGTTGAAACGGCTAGCTATGTTGGTTGGCGGCCTACTGCCTGAACAATGGATGACGTGAGCATTTGTTTCTGGACTGCCGCAACAAGTCAAGCAACTTCTCTGAGCATCATCTAGAATGGACACTATGACATTGGACCAGATCTTGACTCGTGCTCAGGCTGTTATGACCGATAGCAAAGAGCCGGATGAGTCAGTTGCTGCAGCAGCTCAACAGACGAATACTGACATTATTGCATGGACGGGCGGCATTGTTTGCTTTAAGTGTTTTGGTCCCAACCACCTGGCAAAGGACTGCAGGCAAGGCTACTCAGAGAGGACGGCTACCCAAACCTGAAGATCCCGCTGCGAGATGCGGTGTTTTCAATGCAACAAAGTCGGGCACATCTCCTCGGAGTGCCAGGGAAACGAATCTGGGGAACAGACATCAGAGCCAGTCTTCTCCCCAAGCGACTAAAGAATTCGGTGCTACCTATCATTGAGGTGGCCTTAGATGGAAAGAAGTGCATGGCTCTGGTTGATTCTGGTTACTAGGGACGTTGGTGAGCAAATGCGCATGTCACAATTGGTGACCAATGAAAACGGAAGTCCTAACTGCTGACAGTAAGGTACTAAAATATCGTGGACAGGGCAATATTACGTTGAATATTAGTCATGCTCAATCCGTGTGCATTGATGCCCTTATTGTGGACAGACCACTACTTGGGTTTGATTTTCTTCTTGGGATTGATGCAATCAGAGAATTAGGAGGGGTGCACATTAAACCCCTCAGGAGAAGTTCACTTTCTTAACGGAAATAAGCCCCAATGTGCTGCTATTTCCATCACTGAACCCGACTTTAGTGTAGAGTTTGACTGTCGTAACAAAGTATGGACAGCCTCGTGGAAGTGGACAAATGGACAACCACCTATAACCCTAAAGAATAGAGTGGCAAAATATTCAGTACCTGACTATGCACGGGACAAATATGAGATGGAGCTTCAGTTGTGGCTGGATAATGGATGGCTGTAACCATACCCCGAAGATGAATTTGATCCACCTAAGTATCTAATCCTATTAATGGCAGTGATGCAAGAGAGCAAGCAGAAGGTCTGTCCAGTACTGGATTACCGCAAGTTGAATAGTTTTGTGGAACCATATACTGCTAACTCGGAGGTGTGTGCACATAAGTTGTGGGAATGGCAATGATTGGGGGCCAATGTATCTTTATTGGACTTACAAAGGGCATATCTGCTGATACATGTTAAGAAGGCGCTGTGGCCCTATCAAACTGTTATATTGAAGGGTTAAATATACTGCCTCACCCGACTGGGTTTCGGTTTAAATGTAGCACCTCTCATCATGAAAGCTGTAATTGACAGTATTGTCTCAAGACAAAGCCATTGCGAATACCACATTGGCATATATTGATGACATTTATGTCAATGAAAGTTTGATTCCTGTTGTACGTGTGAGAGAGCTCCTGTCCAAGTATGGACTAGTATGCAAGGAGCCGACAAGATTAGAAGGCGAAACTAAGGTGTTGGGCTTGCAGGTTGGGAGTGATAATGGCACTCTGCAATGTAGGCAAGGTGGAGAGATCCCAATATCCCTATGAGGATAACTTGCTGGTGTGTGTTCTCCTTATGTGGAAAACTTGTGGGCCTCTTTCCCATTTGTGGCTGGCTATGAGTTGCCACTGCGTTTGTGAAACGACAAGCAAGTGCTCTAACCACAGGATGGGATGATGAAGTTGAAGATGCCTCTATTAATTGCATGCTAGCCGATATAATAGCCAGAATATGCAAGGCCAATCCAGTAGGAGGAGACTGGTGTGTAAGTGGCTGTGAAATGAATATGTGGGTAGATGTGAGTTCTGTAGCCACAGGTGTGGTATTAGAGATAAATGAAAATGTCATTGAGGATGCGTTGTGGCTGCACCTGGCTGGAGATGCTAAGCACATCAATTTGGCTGAGCTAGACGCAGTGATAAAGAGTGTCAATTTGGACCTTCAATGGCAGGTGTCGACAGTACATCTTTTTACTGATTCAGCATGTGTTCATCAGTGGGTTTCAAACACTGGCAAACTTAACTGGCAAGGCTCGAATAAATACGGAGGTGTCTGGAGAAATGCTAGTGCGGAGATGGTTGAACACACTTTGCGAGCTTGTAGCTGAATATGGCTTGATGGTGGACATAACACTGGTCACGACCAATAGCAAGTTGTATGCAGATTTGGTCAAACTGGAGGAGGCTATTTACCTGGGTAACTGAGAATAAAAGTGAAGAATGCTGATTGGTTGGTCGATTGTGGTGGTGGCCTGATAAGAGGTCTGAAGCAGTGAGAAAGAGAAAGATGGATTTACGTTTTGAAGTGTTCAGAAAGCAAGAACGGCGGATTGAAACAGGGGTATCTTGAATTGTACAAGTAATGTCTTAGTAATAGACTCATTTAAGCTACAATTTGTGATGCCACATTGCATTCATGGCTAGTATTTAATCTAATATTGTTCAGTTAATACTTTTCTATTCTTTTCTCCAGGTAAATAAAAAAAAAAAAAAACTGCTCTTTTTTTTTTCTTCAACTTTCAGCTAATTTTCTCTGATGTTTTGTAGTAGAAAATCAAGCAAGATTTGTTTTAATAAAATTAAAAATAAGTTGTTATCCTTTGTTCATCTTATTTACCCCTTTTAGGTTTTGACCATCTCACTTTAAAAAATAATTCTAGCCAACAGCCTCATTAAGTAGTAGAGCTGGTCTCTTTCCTCAACTCTTCAGCCAGACAAGTGTACACATGCTGTAGTTGAAGTGTCTAACTTATTTGCTAATGGCGCACTAAGTTTTGCTTTAACTGAACAACAGAACCCTTTAGTGCTTAAAAAGAAAAAAAAAAACCTAATTCTTTAGGAAACTTTGTTTTCAAGGAAAGTCAATGAAGATTTTTGCTTGTTTTGCATTTCTAAAATCCAAATTATCTTGCAGTTTAAACAACCATATGTTACTGCATATGTTATTTTTATTTCTATAAAGAGATTTTCTCAATATATTCTGATTAATGATTCATGATTTGGGGCCAGTTTTGTAACGACTTTTTGTTAATTACTTAGAGTATAGACAATGAATTATTTTTGTTTTCAATGAATGTTAAGTACTGTGCATGGCCTATTCTGTGTTGGGGAAAATTCAGTATAATTTAATTTTGACAATTGGAATATGACTTGCCTTTCAATAAGTCTAGAAAATGAACATCTGAAAGCTCTGTGTTCCTAAAAATTTAAAAACCATGAGAATATTAAAAAAAAAAGATAAAACTTTATAAACAAGCATCTGTTGTTAATTTTTGGATTTTTAAAAAATATTTTGGTTAGTAAAAAATGCTGAAAGGAATTTTGGATTTTATAATATGCATTTTATTTTATTACTGAATTTGTGCTTTGCTACTTTTTATGAGCAGTATGTTATATCTTCACTATTTCATTGTGTTCAGTTAAAATAAATTCAGCTTCACATCTCTCAGCTTTTATTTTGCATCTGCAGTAGAGCTACTACATTGAAAATATCATTGGCACAATAACTGATAGTTACAGCTTTGTTGTCTAATTGAGATTAGTTGATCTCTGTCCAGCCAAACTCTTTGATATGTTTATGACAGCCAATTTCTGTGTTTTTCTATTAACAATCATTTCAAATTTTTTCTTTGTAGGTTGTTTGAGTATTTTACTGATTATTTTCAGAAAAATTTATAAATAATTCTCTTAAAGCCCATCTTTCTTACCTCAGCTCTCCAAAGTATGTTTTTATTTTCTGTTCATTTTGCATAATTTTTTATGTTTTTTTTTCTTTGATTTACAAATGTTTCATTTGTTATCGCTACTTGTTTTGAATGAATTCATTTTCTGATGCTGTTTCCTCTTTGACTACATCTTCAGTATCTCTTTATCACTCCATTAATGGAACATATCCACATCAAATTTTCTAAAATTGCATTTTAACAAAAGATTTAATAAACCAAACTTCCTAAAAAATAATTAGCAATGTCTTGTTGGATTTTATTGATTTTTGTCTGTGCACCACAAAACATTTTGTTTTTGTAGTGCAACTTTCAAGGACATTGCAATTGATTGAAGCATTTATCAGGTTTATCTGCTGATCAATATCAGACAATTGTTAGCAAAAAGTAGACAGAAGTTAAAAATTGGCTGACAAGTGCTATAAGAGTGACAAAAAGATAGTCTTGTTTGTAATAATTGTTTTGAAGTTGCTCTAATAGTACTTAACATGAATGAAAGTGTGAATGCAATTATATTAATGTATCTCTTTGCAAATGGGTTTGGGGAAATATTTCAGTTCTTTCTTCTTCCTTTTTCATTTTTAAACTCCCTTATTACTGAAGAATGTTATTTAAAATATTCAATAAATTTTTCAGTTAAACATTGCCACTAAATACTTTAATATTGATTTCTTTTTTTTTGTAGAGTTCAAAACGTACAACAACAATCCCAGGCCTTGATCCATCTTCCAAACAGTAAGTTCATGAAATTAAAAAAAAAAATACTTGTATGGAAAAGAATCTTATATATTACTAAAATATCTAAAAACATCCATTTTGGGAGGTGTACATAAAAAAAAGTGTTTTTGTGTTTCACATTTTTTTTAAATATTGTATAATAAACAACTTTGTTTTCTGAGAGAAATTACAATAAGTTGAGAAAAAAATAAACAGAAAAATTAACCACTTTAACAGTAACAAATATCACTTAGGACTGTAACAATTTCTTTATTTTGTTTTATGTATTTCATTTTTCTATTCCAACTATTATTCTCTCATTTTTTTTTTATTTCTCTACCTTCTTATGATGAGAATCAAAAGAGCACATCCCAATATCTTATCTGATGGTTTATAAATAGCAACAGTTCTCAGTCTTTCTTTTTCCTTTTTTTTGTTAAAGCTTAATATTATTGTCATTAATAAAGGAAACGCTCTTGTAGACATGACACCTATAGGTACTTGTATGCAGAAAATCTATTAAGCTGTATTTTGTTTATTTCACCTTATGTCAAGGTGATTTAAAGTATTATGTTTAGGTTGTGAAGCAAAAAATTCATACAAAACCTGGATGAAAATTAATAGATAAAAGAAAATATTTGAAGTAATTTGCACATAAGTATATTTGTGTGTGTTTTTATTATATATATATATATATATATATATATATATATATATATATATGAGTTGTCAATTGTTGAAACCATGGAGTGGATGATTACAAAATGATTCATCTATGAAACTTCTGAATATAGTATAAATCAGTGACAAATTTGATTTGCATTAATTATATATTTATATATACATATATATTAACATAATAGTAGATATTAGGAAAAAGATTTAACAGTTCTCATCAATATCCTTTTTAAATACTGCAATTATTGTACAATGTAAGAACTGCTTTATTTATCATAAGCCAAAATAAAGGGTCTGCATTATATATGTTATGAAATATTACCACTCTAAAATGGCTGTGCATATAAGTGTCCACAAACCTGTAGGATTAGACTTACTTGACTTGAATAACTTTCAGTATTTGTTTACTTTTTATTCAACATATGGCCAGTGGATACTTTTTCATAGCAAAAAAAACTTCATCATTGTCCTCTCTTAAATCACCAAGGATATCTTCAATCAGAATTTACACTGGCTTCTGAAATATCTTAATGAAAAGACGGTGTGTTAAGTAGAAAAATGTTGACATTTTATTTGTTGTTATAAAGTGGCTGACTGTTTCTCACAAACACACCTCATTGATAAACTATATTTACTTTGTTAAATAAAACCAAAAACATTTCAGTGAAGTAGTTCCAAAATGATTTTGTCAATGATGATTATTTGTTTTTCTCCTAGAGATGGAAACTTGGCTGATATTACACGTGCTGGCAGTCTTCATGAATTCCTACTCAGTCTTCACCAGCAATATGGCTCTATTGCATCTTTTTGGATGGGAAACACACAGATTGTCAGTTTAGCTTCTCCACAACTGATAGAAGCCAATAAAAAAGTGTTTGATCGATCTAGTAAGATTTGTGTTTTGCATTTCTTTTTAATTTTTGACCCACATCTCATCTCAATAGAGTATTTACCTGGAGACATTCTCTTCATAATATCATTAGTATTTTCTTGCTCAACGTCCAGAGTGTTTATTTAACAGATAGGTAACTTTTAATAGCATTTGATTCCTGTTTAAAAGGCCATTTAGCAACTTAGTAACTATGACCCAGACATCTATTTCTATCAACTAAGAGACACTAATTAGGGTTGAACATTGAAATGTCTATTGGTATTTACTAAGCTCACAAGTAGAGGGAAGTATCCTAAGAAAAATAGTATTATACTAATTTTCCGAGTGGCAAAGGCTTCTTATTCGAGATGATGTTTCTTTTTTTTATTTGGACACAAACACTGAGCATATACAACTATATCAGTCATAAGGTAGGTAGGTATTCTGTTAAGCTTAATCTAGACCAATGACACAATCATGAGGATTTAATTCGTTGCATTAGTAACTTAGCTCAGAAAGATGACATTCTTAACAACTGAATTGCAATATGTGCACATTTTGAATTTATTATATATATATATATATATATATATATATATATTAGAATATGTATACAGTTTCTCCTATTTAGAAAACAATTTTGGTCCTTGCAGTATAAATTTGAAAGAAAAACTATATTTCTAGGCTGAGATCTCTATGAAGCTGTTTTCCTCTTCTTAAGAAAGTGCACTCTGTAGCCATTTGATTGTCACTTTCAACAGAGTTACAAATCAAGCTACTGTGTCTATTTTTATAGCCACTAGGGAATTAAAACAATTTCCTCTCATATTTGAAGTACAAAACGGAATTTTAGTTTTGTTAATGAAATAATTATGTTTCTTGATATGGCATAAATCTAAATCTTCTGACAATATGTATTCTTTTTTATAATTTTTTTACAGGTGACATGATCTGGCACTATTTTTTTTTGTTACATAATTATAGATTGATTCACTGATATCTTGTGACCTGTCAAAACATGTCACTGATTTTAACTTTTTTCATAGTGCAGAATTCTAACTCAGTTAAAAACTATAAAATTTTGGAATATTGAAAAAAAAAAATTCTATAACCAGTAGCAGTTGAGCAGATGAGTTTGTGAACTTTTACAGGCAATGTAAAGAAGGATCTGCCAATGCAGTTGTAGGTGAATATTTGTCTTGAAGCTGACCTATATCTTATATATTTCCCATTTCTCTGAACATAATCCTGATACGGCAATTAGCATGCACTTCTTGATGAAGGCTCCCTCTCTAAATGATTTCCCAGTGGTAGCAATCTTGGATATTGCAAAATCTATTCTAGCTACCAGTGAATTTTCTGTTTTGGCTACTTTGAAAACATTTGTTCCTTGTTAAGATTCTTACCAAACTGTTGTAATACTCTTTTCATGCAAATTTAGTTTTGTGTAAATCTGATACTTGGTTTAAAAGTTCCACCTCACATTTTATTCTGTGGAAACAGATTCTATTTCACAATCCAAAAGGCAGCATATTTTGTTAATAGAAAGAATGAAAGAAATCTTTATTTATCCAAGCTCTGTTCTCAGAATCTGTTTTTCTTTTCTTTTGGTAAATTTTGGTGACAACCCAAGCTGAATCTTTTGACACACTATCATGCAAAATGCAGTTGCCAATGAAGGAATTGGTTGGATAACATCAAGTGCTGGATGGCATGGGAAAAGATGACTGCTTTTCCAGCCTTATGTCTACCTGATAACTAAAAAGTCCTGCCTCTGCAAAACTGAATTTTTTGTATGTGGTCATTGCTGAATTCATTCTGATGAACAAGAAAAAATTGTTTTGGAAACCCCTAGTGAACCATACTGGGTAGTCTTGCAGGCCATATTTTTTGTACTTGCACAGCAAATGAAAAATTTATTTCCAGTGAATAAAAAAAATATATATTTTCTTAATATGTGAAAATAGTACTACCAATGATTATAGCTATTGTGATACCAAATGAAATGTAGAATTGTATTCATTTGTTGTATGTTATAGTTTTATTTGAAATTTTTTGTTTCATTTCAGGTGAACTGTATGTTTTGTTTGAATCACTTCTTGGTTCTCAAAATCTTTTGTATGCTAGTGGAGATGAAGGCCGGCAAAGGAGGAGCAATTTTGTGAATGCCTTCAATGATGAAATGATTGCTGTACATTGCACCAAATTAGGAAAGGTATCTTTTTACCTGAATTGAATTTTTATGTTTTAACTTTTTATTTTTAGGATACAAACAAAAATCTGCCAGTCTGATAATTTTCCTTATTCTGTGAGTTCACAAATTGGTGAACTCTTGAAAAAATTGTTTTATATAGACATTTAATAACAAGGATATACAAAAAATACAGAGCAGAATTTGAACAGAAACATATCCCCAGTTTTACTGTCTGTAATACAGTCATTCTTTTTCACAGACCTATTGTGTTTTGCTGCTAGTATAATTTGTATTGTTTGATATAACTCTGTGCATGTACAGATATGCTTCCTACTAAAACACACATAAGCACTCACACAAAGGGATCTATGTGCATATTTCTCAGCCTCATAGAGCTAGATGATTTTCTCATATACAGTCTCCCTAAGATTCACAAAGACGGTATTCCGCTCAGGCCGATTGTTAGTTGCCAAGGCTCTGTGTGCCACCCTCCGAGTCACTTCCTTGTAGAATAATTGACCCATTGATCGGAAAGTCTCCTTCATATGTCCGAAACTCCGCCCACTTCGTGTAAATAGTCAAAGATGCTCCCATCCTATCCAACCAGATGGTGAACTTGGACGTGGTGAGTTTGTTCACCAAGGTTCCCACAGAGGAGGCACTCTCAGTAGTCAGAGACAGATTGGCCTCTGACTCTTCCCTAGAAGAATGGACCAGTATTCCAATAATCTGATGGAGATGTTGACTTTCTGTACACAAACAACACAATTCAGAATGGGATCACACATATATTGACAGGATGAGGGCTTAGCAATGGGCTCGCCATTATCACCAGCAATGGCGAATATATACATGGAATACTTTGAGGAAATGGCATTAGAATCTATATCTCTAAAGCCAACTATATGGTTAAAGACATAACGTAGATGACACCTTCATACTCTGGCCACACCAGGAAGATGTTCAGGTTCTACTGGACCATGTGAACTCAATAAGACCTTCAATACAGTTCACAATGGAGAAAGAGAATAACAACACATTCCCATTCCTGGATGTTGTAATATCTTGAACAGAGCATGGGTTTAAGACATCCGTATACCGTAAACCGACATTCACTGGACAGTATCTCAATTTCAACCCCACCATCTATACAGCATAAAGAAAGGGATCGTCTGTTGCTTGAAGGGGTCTGAGAAATACAAAAGGATCTGCTGTCCATAACATCAGGACAACCTCAAAAAGCTTGACGAACTTTGCAGATCTCTCCCAAGTAAGAACCCCCATAGAGGGGGAGAACATGACTAAAGACCATGTGTACACTATAAATGCAGCTGCAGAAAGGAATATAAGGAGAGACAGGCAATTCAAAAACACCAGAAAGCTGTAACACGAGGGGAAGTAGAAAAAATCAGGCAACACCTAGCAAAAGTCATAAGCAAAAATTGCAATATACTGGTGACGACCCAGAGACATTAGATAAAGAATTGGTCAGTATAAGTAGTACCATACAACTGATAACAACTACCCTGGGTACATGGCAGAAGCCCCGAAATGTTGTGATAAAAAACTGGGATAGGCAGGTACAAGAGGAGGAGGACAACAACATACAGCAAAAACAGTCTGCCTGCCTTATGTGAAGGGGTTATCAGAGAAAATACAAAGGATCTGAGGCTGTCCATATAACATCAGGACAACCTTCTGGAAAAAGCTTGACGACTTTGCAGATATCTCTCCCAAGTAAGAACCCCCAGCGTTTTTATAGAGGGAGAACATGACTAAAGACTATGTGTACACTATACCGTGCAGCTGCAGAAAGGAATATAAAGGAGAGACAGGCACCCCCTCAAGGTAAGGCTTCAAAAACACCAGAAAGCTGTAACACGAGGGGAAGTAGAAAAATCAGGCATGGCTGACCACATATGGAGAGAGAAGGGAGATCACCACCCTCTGTGGGATCATGTTGAGTTTATAGACAAGAAACACCATTGGAAAATTCGTAAACTTAAGGAATCAGCACATATGCTAGGCCACAAACATTTCCTGAGCTGACCAAGCATAGAAATAAATACAATATGGGAACTAGTAATAAGGAGTGCCAGAGAAAAGCAATGATAGCAACATAGTTGCAATATGAGCTCTGGTAAAAACATGAAATGATAACAGCAAAATTGCAATATGAGCACTGGTAAAAATGGTTGCTGAAGACATTAGGTTTATAATACCCAGATGTCCTCAAGGTCACATGGCACATTGGATAAAGGCATTGGTTAAATCTAGTGACAGGACCCAAAGAGTGTGAGTTCAATACCCGGTTAAGGCAGTGGAGAACTTTCAGAGGGAAATTAACAGGAGATAACTGATAACTGACATCCATCAAACATGGCACTTGAGTGAAATAAAGGGTTCAATTCGACATTCCAACCACCTGAAGACACACACAATGGCCGAAATGTTGTGATAAATATGGCAACAAAGATGAGGGCAATGTAAAGGAATGTTGATTTTATATATATATGTATGTATGTGTGTGTGTGTATATATATATATATAAAAAACGAGAAAAGCTGAAGATGGATTAAATTCCAATTTGAATTTTAAATTTGTGGCATTTGATATGTCTATATGCAAATAGATTCAAATTTCTACTTTTTTTTTTTTTTTATTGCTGTTGGATTTTAAATATTCCACATTGTAATTAGCTTTGTTAAGAAAGGTGATATTTTGTAATGATCCTGGCTGTAAAGAGAGATATATAGTGTGTACATAATCATCAACACTGCATGATGACTGTCAGATGTGATCCTTTTGGTTGGGTTTTGATCTGGGCTTGAGGCATTTGGTTGTCACACTGAGGAGCTGTGATACAGCGAAACGGTACTGTCTGCAGATGACACACACACACTACAAAGAAATGATTTATTCATTATTTCTGGAATAAGTTGTTAGCTTTAAAAAAATTGTAAAATGTATTCTAAGGTATGAAGTTTTTATTCATTTATTAATTGACTTGTTGGACGCGGCAACCCGGTTTTCTTTATGCCTACCTGCTATCACCAGTTAATTTATTTGAATTAATATTTTTTTTTTTTTTTTTTTTTTTTTTTTAGATTAGTGATGAACTATTGACTAAATGGTCAGCAATGAGTGAGCAACACATTCCAGTTGAAGAACACATGATGGCACTGGCCATGAGATTCCAGTTATTTAAAACTCTGGGAAATTATTTTGAGGACAATGTGGAAATACTGAAGCTGCGCAGGAACTTTGACACAGTATGTGGCTACTTTTTTCTTCTCCAACCATCAAAAAAGCAACAATGTTGAACAATAGCTTTCTATTGCACACTTAACTGACTTCATTGGATTTAGGATATTTTGCTATTGTTTATCTCATCCTTTATGAGATTTGAAATCTGTTCAAAATTCAATCATGTAATTTATTTTTTTAAATTTCTCTAAACTTAATTTTTTTTGTGTGTGGCAAGGAGGAAGGAGAATTATGTACTAAAACTAGTTATGCCTCTTTTTTAATCAACTATGATTTGAAATGAAATTGGTTCCTATCAATTGGATAAAATGTTATGAATCTCTTATGGTTCTTGTCATAACTACTCTTTCTTAAGAAAGATTCCTGTAAATCATAATCAGTATTTGATTATTTCTTTAATTTGCCCAGATTTTTATCATAAATGCTCAGACAGACTTTCTGGAGTTGTTATTAAGCAGTGCAGGTCAGAAGTAAATATTTTGGCAAAATTCATATTTTTTTTTTTTTTTTTTTTTTTTTTTTTACCTTGGGAATTTTATTTTACTGTAAAAGAGCTGCTCTACTGCTTGCACTACAAAAACCAAAATTTGCAGAATGACTAACGATTATAAACTAATGTTTGTAAATGTTTGGCACTTTCATATTTTATAAATTCTTTGCCAACACAAGTGTTGGCAGTCATCGTATTTTTTATTTTCAAGTTAATATTCCAACTAGCTTGTAGAATGACTTAGTAGTTGTGATGAAATTATCTGAAATTAAGAGGAAAGAACTACTAATGTTAAATTAATAATGGCTGACAATACTTATTCTAATAATAATAATAGCACCCACCCCCAAAAAAGAGCATGTGTCATAGCTCTTTAGGTTAAACCATAATCACTTCTCATGGTGGAAACCTATTCATCATGAAAAGTCAAAGGGTTGCTCCTCTACAATTGATGTCAATATGCCTGATTGGTTTGAATTTAAGTTTTCCTTGTTTTAGACTAGCTGCCATTCAAGGCTACAGAGAACACTTTACTCTATTATTTAACCCATAGCTGATGAGGGAAGAGACCGATGGATTCAAGCCAATCTCAAGAGCATTAGTATAAAGTGAAGACAACAGTCTCAGCTGGAATATTAACTCAGCACGCCAATTCATTTTTCCATTCCTATAATTGTAGTAGGCATCCATTTATTGTGTGGATAGTGGTAGTGACCTGTTCATTTAAAATTTAGTCCTTTGGTGGTGAGACTGGAATAATTTCTCTAGGCCTGTAGGGTTGGGTGATGGTATATGGTAACCATGCATTGCGTAGATCCTATGCCCAGTTGCTGGAAATCTGTCAGTGTTGACAGCTTTGGTGCTATACACTAGATTTTCTCTTTGGATTTACTTCAATAGCTATTTCTGTGTTTGGATATGTGCAGAATTTTAAAATCAGGGTTTTCCATCCCCTATATGTTGCCTTCCTAGTCTGAGGAGATCCATCTACCCAAAGTAACTTGTTATGAGGTGCCAGTAATCTGCATTTGCTCCTTTCTTCTCACTTGGAGCTGGACTTAGTAGTCAGAAACACACGACATGAGAGCATTTTATAAACAGTAGCAGCTTGTCCCTGTTACCATCCACAATTATGACAACTTTTGGAACAGATATATGTACATAAGACAAATTACAATAGTCATACACAAATATTAGAAAATTTGATAGCTTTGGAAAAGATAGCAAAAAGAAAAAAATAAATCAGGATTTAAGCTTAAGATACTTGGAGATTATGAAGTCATTATCTATAACATAGAATAAAAATAATCTGTAGGACATCTTTGACAAAACATAATTACTGTCAATCCTATCTATAATTAGTGTCAATCCTAAAAGATCTTTATTCTGAAAACTTTTAGAAGGAATTTACCTCTTTTTATCACTTCATCTATTTGCTAAATGTATATTTACTATGGAAGACTCGAACATGAATACACTTTATATACATTTTCTCCTTAATAAATTACTTTCTCCTTAAATTAAATATAAGAAATTCAATGTAGGAGTATCTAAAGGTAACTAAAAAGTAAAATATTTCATTGAGTTCTACAACACAAAACTTTGTACTCCTTCAAAGTATATTCCTCTTGACATTATACATTTGTCACAACATTTTATTTTTCCATTGTTGGAAACATTCTAAAACTTATCAGTGTGAAGTTTATCCAAGGTCTCCAAAGTTTTTTGCTAACATGGTTAATATCAATAAAATGTTTCCCTTTCAGGTCATTGTTTCATAATGGAGAATAAAAAAAAAATTGAATAGGACAAGGGTAAGTGGGTGGGGGACTGCTACCATGTTTATGGCTAGAAATTGTTAGATGATCTGGGTCATGTGGCCAGAGGCATTGTTGTAATGAAAGATCCATCTACCGCTACTCCACATTTTTGTCCCTCTTTTTACTACAATAGCTCACATAATCATCTCAATACCTTTAAACAAAAGCTGTTGATTCATCTATCCATTAGGAACATCAAACAAATCAACATGGACTTGACATTGGATATTACCTGCTGTGTCTTGCTTTTTGTGGTGAATTTGGAATTTTCTTGTTTCTGAGTTATGAACTCGCATTTGGTTAGAAATCTGGAAAGAAATTGGGATTTGTTTTATATTTGCCCTCTCAAATTGTGGTACACATTCAAATTATTTTCTTTAATCCACTGTATGCAAATCAAATCTAATTTGAAATGCAAATCGATTCAGAATCATGGCACATGGCTGACTGATTCAGAATAGTGTTGCCTGGTGACACTATACCTCATTTAAAATTGCATGCTATATCCAAATTCTGTTTTGTACCTCCTTGTATATTTCTTAATGATGTATTGATCTTGATAAAAGGCTATGTAAAATTTCAATGGTGAAATATCTATACAGGGAGTAAATATGAAAAGTTAACTAAAGTTTGTTTATTATGATACAAGAAATTATATTCCCTTTGAGGAAATGAGGAATACATGTCTTTATACAATTATATTAACCATCTCTAAAAATTAGTAATGTTACTGAAAAATTTTCTTGTTTGTCTAGAAGTAAATAATGAAATCAAAAAATTTATATATTGATTTTTTTTTTTTTTTTTTCCTCCAAGTGCTGGAATGAATTTGAGAAACTTCTTCAAGACCTTGCAGAACCAGAAAGCCATCGATATCAGGCTTTCAGTGATGGTAAGTCAAGTGGTAATATAAAGTATTGTGACTGACATCTTATCTGCTCGGATGTCTCCTTGATTTCTTCTCTTTTAGGATTAGAACAAAATTTTCCAAATTCACTTTTTAATCTGAATGCAAAGTATGAATAACCTTGTCATATTCTTAAACTTTTTGTCTTTAAATACAGTTATTAATTTGTTATTTTATCCTTCACATGTATTTGTCAATTTTATGTTGAAAAACAAACATATTTAGCACTCAATGTTGGAGGCACAGTGGAGTAGTGCATAGTGGCTCAGATTGAGGAATCAGAGATCCGAGTTCAAATTCCAGTTGAATCCATTACATTCACTTACGTGCTAATACCCTTGGGAAAGGTATTAATCCTCTTCTTCTCCCTCCAGCTATGGGTAAATAGCAGGACAGACTGGGTTCTATAGCCTTGGATGGCAACTGATCTAGAAGGATAACTCTGAATTCAAAACCTGTAGAGGGTTGTTTGGGGACCTTGTGGCACGTAGTGTACCAGGTCTCTGTATCTGGCTCTTCAAAAAGTGAAAAGTGTGGTTGGTTCTGCACAAAGCCTTCATCACTATAATCAAATCATACATGCTGCTGTCTGGGCTGTTGGTTCCTATGAACTGAACTGCTTGACCCTCATATTGAATACGACGAGAGAATCCACCATTGTATGTTACAATATGGAGACTTAAAAATATTATTTTGCAACAAAAAAACATTATCAGCAATACATTTTTTTAAAAGAAATTACTAATACTCACAAGAAAATTAAATTTTGGCATTATGTGATGCATAGGCCACTAAATATACAAACAAATCAAATGCAGACTTTGCATTGTTTTTTGGCATCATCTGCATAGAATGGTATACATACAGTTTGGATCATATAAGAAAGTACTGAAATGTTCTTTGTGACACTGGCAAATAGAAAGAAAAGAGTTAAGTTAAAAATATAAACTTGGAGCAAGATAAAAAGTGTTAAAGGATAGACCCTGAACAAATTTTTGTCTTTTCTTTATTTCATTTGCAAGAACATTTTTTATTTTTCCTTTGTGGCATATCTTTGCTAAGATTGAGCAAATGATACAATTGCTGATGACAATTTAATCTTTGCCAGCTCTGTGATCAATCAACACAGTGCGGCACAGTGAGGTGCAGATTGAAGCAACCAATTCCAATGGTCAGTGGTAGCATTGACCAGGGACCGACCCGCAAGAAGTGTTACATCTTGACTCATCCCAGTTCTCCAGAACAGACCAAATGACTAAACATCACAAATTTAGTATCTGTCTATATTTCTGAGATGAGGGATTATGTACATTATTTACATTATTTGAACTATTGAACTCACACACTTTGGGTCCTGTCACTGGATCTAATTAATGTCTTTATCCACTGTGCCATGGACACATGGCACAGTGACAGGACCCACAGAGTGTGAGTTCAATACCTGGTTAAGGCAGTGGAGAATTTTCAGTGGGAAATTAACAGGAGATAACTAACATCTATTAAACATGGCACATGGAACTAGAACAGTCTACCCCAATGAGCGAAATAAAGGGTTCAGTTCGACATTCCAACCACCTAAAGAAGGTCGGAGTGTATAATGGCCAAAACGTTGTAATAAATATGGCGACAAAGATGAGGACAATATTCCGAATAATGTAAATAAGGTATCACAAATTTATTTAGAATTCTTTCATGTTCAGGTAGTCAAGCCAAAGATATTCCAGCACCCCTTGTATTTTTCTCATAAAGACATCCAACTTTTATGATCATACCAAAGAGAATAAGAATATTCAAACAACTTCAAGGATGAATAATGAATCTTTTTTTTTTTTTTTTTTTTAAAGATTTTCAGAAAATATTTAATTACTTTGAGGGGATAACATCTGCTGATAAGCAGAATGTTTTGCCTGTAAATTCTTATCTGGAGTATCCATGCCTGACTTTCCACTTAGAACTGAATCTCTATTGAGTGACATACATATAACCTGTTCCATGGTTTCTGTTATCCTCTTTAAGGCAAGTGGCCCTGATGGTATTCCTGCAATAGTCCTTAAGAGATGTGCTCCTGAACTGGCTCCTGTTCTCTCTAAACTCTTTAATAAATGCCTTGAGGCCTCTTGCTTTCCTGCTTGTTGGAAATTCTCTTCTATTGTTCCAGACTTTAAGAACTCTGGTGAACTGTCTTATCCTTCTAACTCTTGGCCTATTAGCATTCTACCTCTTTTTGACAAAGTACTAGAGGCTCTAATAAAGTCTGAACAGAGTAAGCATCTCACCTCGCAGATAAGCAATATGGCTTTTGCTTCTCCAGGCCAACTGCTGATGTATTGACAGTTATTGCTGAAAAAGTCTATCAAGCTTTAGATAAGAATGAAGCTCAGGATGTTGCTTTGGACATCTCAAAAGCATTTGACGAGGTTTGGCATACTGGTCTTGTTCACAAGTTATAGTATTTCTGTATGAATTTTTGAACTTATTCAGTCTTATCAAATCACAAAATGAAAGTTGTCCTGAATGGCCACTCTTCCAGATCTTTTTGTACTAATGCAGGTATCTCCTTGGATTTACTTTGTTCTTAATTTTCATAAATGACCTTCTTGATGGCATCAATTCTCAACTTGGTATCTATGCTGATGACACAGCTAATTACACCTGTCTTGATAGTATGTCTAATTAGTTCAATAAAGGCAAATTGGCAGCTGATCTTAAAAATGTCCTACAATCTGCTGTTAACTTGTCTTGAATGTCTTGTTAATTTTAATGCCTCCAAAGCAAAACTTAAATTTTCTATTAATAATCTGAGAGAACCCTCTCTACCCGCATCAGCATTGCTAATGTTAATGACTTGTTGTACCTTCTTAGACTAATGTTTTCCACTGATATGAAATGGAAAGATCATATTGAATCAATTGCTAAGAAAGTTTGTTCATGGTATCATGCTAGACAATTTTTCTCTCCAGAATCTATCTTACAGATTTATAAATCTATTTGTCCAGACTTTGAATATTGCTGCCATATATGGTCTGGTGCTCCTGCAATATAGTTAGAGATTCTTAATAAAATTCAAAGAAGGATCGACGATGTTATTGGTCCTGACCTGGCATCTCGGCTCCAGTCACTTTTCCACCACTGTAATGTAGCTTCCCTGTGCCTTTTCTATAAACTTTAATGGTAATTGTTCTGAAGAACCCTCCACTATGGTACCTAAACTTCATAAATTTAAGTACTATATTGGCAACAAGGTCTCATGATTTTACAGTTGAATTAGCTAGATGTAACCATAAGTTTTATGTTAACAATTTCTTTTCTCACACTTCTCGCTTGTGGAACTCTCTTCTTGGTCCATGCTTTTCAACCAACTTCGATCTTCAAAAATTTAATTGCAATGTCAATCATTAACTACTGTCTTCCTGATTACTCTTCTTCTATTGCTCTCACTTTTTAATATTGTTTCACTTTTTTACTTCTTTTTTCACACTCAGTAACCCCTTGTGTCTTAGTGGCATTACTGCCTAGCATAGAGTGAAATAATTTAAAAGAAATAACATATTCAATTCACTAATGTCTTTTTGATTCTAGAAAATGTGGCATATTTTCTGAAATAATTCATCCTTTTGGTATTTCAGCTCAAGCTGCCATTGAAACAATCCTGGCAAAAGCTGTGCAAGATCATCGTGACAATAAATCAAAAAAAAAATCATTTTCTTATTGATACATTATTGGCTTCCAAAGCAACAGATGAACAAATTATCACTGACTGTTTTCTTACACTTCTCTTTGATTTTCATACTCTTGGTGGCTGTAAGTATTTTCTTTCTTTGTAATCCATTGAGAAAGCTCTCAGAAAAACATTTTGCTCATTATACCAATAGGTTAAAATTGGCTCATTTAAACTTTTTAAGTAATAGATCTTAATGTTTTTAAACCTTTTTATTACTGTGTTGCATTTGTAATTAATTGGCGAATTTATTTAAAAGTAAAAATGTAGTCAAATTATTTCAAATTAGGATTTTTACAAATTTATTGACAGTAAATGTCTGTTCAAATTTTTTGTCTGATTACTTCAAAAATATAGTACATACTAGAAACATGAAATAATCTAAGCACCTTATTTAGGTTTAAAATTACTTTGTGTACATTGAATCGGCATGACCTGATAATACACTTTATTCAAGAAAATGAGGCAGTTTTCTTATTTCTAATGTGTCTTCAGGTAACTTATAATTTCTATGTTTAATAAAATCTTTAATACAATTCTATATATTTATTTTGTCAGCTGTGATTTTATGGGAGAAAATGTGTGTTTTTTTAGTTTTTTTTTTTTGTTTTTTTTTTTGATCACTTTGGCTATTTTTTTTTTTTTTTTTTTTTTTTGTCAAAATTTTGTACAGACATTTTAATTTTTATTTCTATTCCTTTGACAAGACTGTGTCATGTTAAGTGTTATGAAATTAAATTATTTCATTTACTTTTAATATATTTTTGCTGCTTTCATTTACTGTTTGTAGTGCTGACTTGGGCCCTGTATTTCCTTGCTACTCACGGTGACATACAGACTAAACTTGCCAAAGAGATACAAACTCTACCGGAAGGAGAGCCAACTCTAGAGGATCTAAGGAAATTAAAGTAAGAAATGCTTGTAATTTTTCCCCCCACTGAAGCATATTATAATAAAATAATTTTTTATAGAATTTGTTTTCTCTTCTGAAAAATATAACAGGAAATAAAATCTTAAATATTTTCTAAACTTCTTTTTATTTTCAGATTCCTTAAACAAGTTTTGAATGAAACTTACCGTTGTGCAGTTTTGAATCAGTGGTCAGCCACATCTCAAACTTTTGACACTGAAATTGGTGGTCACAAGATTCCTAAAAATGTATGTAATTTGAAAATTAATTAGACACCATAAACACTTTGATGTTTCTTATTTTACTTTTTAACTGAACATTTCATTTTTTCTTTTTAGATACATTATTGTTATGACTCTTTTTCAACTAATATCCCTATCTTTGTTGTTGTGGTTGATGAAGTTTTCAGTTAAATGTGTCTCATTGTGTTATCATAAGCTGAAAGCTTCTAAATCCTCTTTTAACCATTTTTGTCTGCTTTTTTGTGTATCATTTTAGGGCAATTATTTAATCATTTATAGAAAACTACAGAACTGAATTCAGAGTTGACAGATGGGTGTGTCCCATGGGCTGAGTTCCTGCTGACCCTTTCTTTGGTTAGAAGACATTTCTTAGAAATATTTCTGTTTAGTTCTAGGTTACCTTTGGATAAGATGACACTTGCCACTGGCATTGAAGGAATTTATAGTTATTCAACTTCACTTAATAAAGTATGATAAAAGATGAACTTAGAGAATTAATACTAATATTGAATTGTACTTCATCACTCCCCATACTTGACATCATATTGGAGTCCTGAAATAATAGCAGTACATGGCTTTAAGAAACATCCAGGGATAAAAAGCCAGTAAGCAAAATGTTCAGTGAAGATGGCAGTAAAGATGTTAGAAGAAAGAAAGTGATTAGCAATGAGAAATAAAGAGCAAGAAGTAAAAGATAGTAGTGGCAGTAGTAATATCATTTCTTCATGGCTGGGTAACTTTGTGGAATGCATTTGTGACTGAGCCATAAAAGCACGTTCATTCATGTTCCTGGTTGCATAAAGCATTAAGAAAAAGAATGCGAAACAAAATTCCCAAATTAAAAATCTTATTTAGTTTTCGATGGTACGATATTTTCAAATGATTTCCCCATATGTTTGAAACGTCAAATAGTTGAATGGGGAGAAACTTGAAGAATTAATAGTATTTCTAATTATTTTAAAATCATTTTGTGGAATCCTTTTATAATTTATTTTCTACCCATAATTTAAAATGCAGCCAGAATGCTGATGTCCCTCACATAAAATCCATATGAAAATACTATAGGTAGCAAAAAAAAAACTTGCTTTCTGTCTGTTGAGAGTAAAGGTAATTTTAATTTTAAATTCTTTTTACTTTTGTTCTAAGCTCTAGTCATTTTCAATATTGTTCTTGTGGCCATATTGTGTATTTTTAACTTCAACAAAAATAGATAATTTTGTAGAGACAGTCATTCTGATCTGTCAAAGTTGGCAGAGTTAGGTTGTCTGTACTGGAATCTGGAATTTTTGCAGAGTCCAGCAGGACAGTAAACTAGTCTCTTTCCTATTTTATCTGTTCTGCCTTTGTTATCAGCAGTTAGAGATTATATTTACAACTATTTGACAGATTTGATAAATAACAAAGAAACAGTATTAAAAAGGCTTTTTTTTTTTTTTTTTTAATTTTTAACTAAAATCAAGATTCTAATGTTTCTATTTTTGTATTTTATTTTATTGACATAAACTGCCAACATTGACTATAAATAAAAATCAGTTAGCTTTTAAATATTTTCTTTTTCAGAAAATGTTCAAAAAATCATTTTCTGTAGTATGTATGTATATAATGTGCATATTTTCTTTGCAGACCCCAATCATAAATGCTGTTGGTGTTTTAATGCAAGATGAAAAATACTGCCCTCTTCCAACCCAGTAAGTATTGCCATTTTGTTGAGATTTATCAATAATTATGGTGATGAAGTTCTATCTTTCCCTTTTAACTTGTTTTCCAATTAAACAGCTTAAAAGTAGATCAATTTGCTATTCTTGGAACAAATACAAGTTTACAATTAATGGATTATAGAAAGGTTCTCAATGGTTTGGGAGCATGCAGCTGTGTGGACAACTTGTTGAAGTTCTGATCATAGCAAATATAATTTTCTCTTTAGAATAGACATCATAGTTGAGCAGATTCCACAAAAAAAAAAAAACAGGGAAAGCTTGCTACCTAAAGAATTTATTAATTTACATGCACATCAAGATTGATGTGCCTGACTTTAGAGCAGTCTGAACCTCAATGTGTACGTGGTCTGATAGGCAGCTGCCAGCAAGGCTACCTGAATATTCAGTGCTTAAACAAGTTCTAGGTGAATATGAGCATGAGTTGCAAGTATTGATGTGTAATGGATGGTTGCTACCTTACCTCGAAGGAAAACTGGGTTCCTCAAAAGGGCTAAATCGGAGAAGGTGGAGAGTAGTGCTTTGTTTGCAAGTTTGGCAGAAGTGCAGCCCACTATACTAGAAACAAGGTTTTAGAAATGTCTGTAGTGTGTGTCACTACTAGCATTTGTCAAATGCAGAGCAGCCACAGTCACATCCAGTTGGGATGATGAAGTAAATGATGCCCCACTAAAAAACATGATTGCTTGGTCTGTGAATGCAGTGTGGTTGGGTATGCATTTGAGATGTAGGTTATTGTGATTTCCCTTGCTACTGCTGTTTCATTAGAACTTAATGGAACTGTCATCAAAGATGCATCCAGCTGTTGACACCCAACATAATAATCTGGCTGAACTTACACTGAAAGACATCAACGTGTTCTAATATTCTAATAACTCTGCATGCTATCATTAATGGATCTCTGACATTCTCACAGGATATATATGAAGGCTCTGAGCAAAATGCCAAGACCTCCATCGCAACAACCTTGAAAATTTGGTCAAAGAGTAAAAGTTATTGGTGATTATAAAATTGGTCTGATCAAACTGAATTGGGTAGACAGACTAATGAGTGTGACACTATTTAGCTATGGTAATTAATTAACTAATTAGTCATAAAAATTGTACAATAAAATACTGAAAACAAAAAAGAAGGGTCAAGAGGTATCCCAAGGGATATACTGATCAACATAAGATGATTTAATTTTTTTTCGAAAAGTCAAGAAAGTGAAGAATTGAATTTTATGAAAAGGCAATGTGGCGATCTCTGACAATTGATTGATGATGTTCGTTAAAAGTGCTGGTTAAGAAAATACAACATACCCAGAATCAACGAAGATGCAATCTATCGTTCAAGTATGCATAGATATTGTGTAAACAGGTAATATGACTGATGAAAACGGCCAGATAAGATGACCATGTGTTAATTGTAGGAATTTTGGCAGGGTGCAAAAGGGTTTGCATAAACAAAATTCCAATTGATAATTCTAACTGCTCATGATCTGAGAACAGGATAAGAAATCCTGAATAAGTAGAAGTGTCAGAGAGTTAATTAATGAAGCAAGCTTAGCCACACCAGCATGACCAAGATGCCATTGGTCGCATGGTAGCAGTAGTGACAGACAGAGGTAAGGTAGTGAGAAAGATGGAGAAGTTACTAATGCCCACCGAAAGGAATTAGTGTGAGGTACTGATGTGAGGAGGAAGGAGTTTAGGAGGATAACTATCCTGCAACCTCTCCTCACAGACAAAGGGATCCCCCCAGAAATAGGAAGTAATTAATTTACCAAAAATGGGAAGTAATTAATTTTCCTGGGAAATGACAAAGGGACCCTTGTTGGAAATCGGGGATTCACCAAGAACCCCAGGCTGCATCTAACTTTGCACCAGATTTTGGTTGAAGTCCATATAAGTGAGTGTCCTCAGGCAATTTGCTAGTCAGCTAGAGTTAGAGCAGTAGCTGCAAGCAGGAACCAGAGAGTTTCAGTGCAGAGCAGACTGAAAGATTCTACTATTCCTGTCAACCTGAGAGCCTTCGACGTCACCTTTCTACAAACAGCAAGTTACACTGACGAATGAAGCTAAGTCAATACCAAAAAACTAAACCAGTTGAATTAGAAGATCAGAACTTGCCTAGAAGTATAAAAGTGTCACTTTCCAAAGAAACAGGTTGGGAAGAAAACACACTAGTCTATATAACAGATTGATAAAAATTGATTTGCTTTCTTTAAACATGCCCGAACCTTTTTGGTTTTCATTTATTTCTTTTTGCTTGTGCGGCGTCACCAGTTTAGACTCACCTTGCATGACAGCCCCAGTGTCTGATTGATCTCATCAACCTAAGATCAAAATCACAATCACAATGTGGGTAGGTTAGACTTGAGATCGAAGTAGTTACTTCAATCATTGGAAGTGAGCTGAGATCACTGCTGCTGGTGTGAAACTGTTATGTATTTCTGCTGTTAGAATCGACCGACCGACCATCCCATTTGGTACCCTGTCTAAAGGATCCTGCTGGGTATTGATGACCATCGATTGACTGGGTCACATATTGGTGGCAGTGTCTAAGAGTCAACCAGAATGCCTCAGTAGGTGTCACATGAGAGTGCTGTAAAATATTTTGATGCAGTAAAAAGAGGAGCTCAGATGCAAGTGACTTGTCTGTGCTACATTGATGAAAAAAAATGTTTCTGATAGGATAAAATTTTTATGTCTATATTTCTGAGATGAGGTATTATGTACATTATTTATTGTCCTCATGTTTGTCACCATATTTATCACAATGTTTCGGCCGTTGTACACTTCAGGTGGTTGGAATTTTGAACTGAGGTAGACTGTTCTAGTTCCACGTGACATGTTTGATGGATGTCAGTTATCAGTTATCTCCTGCTAATTTCCCTCTGAAAGTTCTCCACTGCCTTAACCAGGTATTGAACTCACACTCTTTGGGTCCTGTCACTGGATCTAACCAACGCCTTTATCCACTGTGCGAACTTGAGAACATCTGGGTATGAATTTCTGGGTATTATAAACCTAATGTCTTCAGCAACCATTTTTACCAGTGCTCATACTGCAATTTTGCTGTTATCATTGCATGTTTTTACCAGAGCTCATATTGCAACTATGTTGCTATCATTGCTTTTCTCTGGCACTCCTTATTACTGGTTCCCATATAGTATTTATTTCTATGCTTGGTCGGCTCAGGAGATTTTTGTGGCCTAGCATGTGTGCTGATTCTTTAAGTTTACGAATTTTCCAATGGTGTTCTTTGTCTATGATCTCAACATGATTCCACAGAGGGTGGTGATCTCCCTTCTCTCTCCATATGTGGTCAGCCACGCCTGATTTTTCTACTTCCCCTCATGTTACAGCTTTCTGGTGTTCTTGAAGCCTTACCTTGAGTGGGTGACCTGTCTCTCCTTTATATTCCTTTCTGCAGCTGCACGGTATAGCGTACACACAGTTTATAAAGGCCATATTTATCACAACGGCCGAAACATTTTGATAAATATGGCGACAAAGATGAGGACAATAGTCCGAATAATGTAAATAATGTAAAATTTTTATATTGTCATAAGGCATCCTGGTATTAAATAGACATTGTATGTTGAAAGTGTGGCTCTATCCTGCAATGTTGAAGGTAGCACTTAGGATATTGGCCAGAGAATGCAAGAAGTACCAGTTTGGGTTTGTTACATTCACTTATGCACAAATGCCCTTGGGAAAGGTATGAATCCATCTCTTCTCCCCTCAGCTGTAAGTAGAATAGCAGGACAGACTGGATCCTATAGCAGAATGAAACTGCAATCTACTGCAGGTTAATCTTCTGCCTAGTCAGTCATGAAGCAAAAGAGACATGATCACCCAAGCGTGTGTCATGTATGATACTTAACTGACTGACTGGTCAGTCTATTGGCCCAGTCTCAGTGCACTAATCAATAAGTTAATAAATTAGCCTATGCATGATTTTTGGTCTGTTGAGCTGTGATAGTCATTCCATATATGATTACTGCAATGGCAAGAAAACCAAATATGGATGCTGTATCTGACATACTTTGTGAATGAGAAGATCTCAAAGGGCACAGCTTCTTTTTGCATTTGGGCCATATTTAGCTCTTTATAAAAGTGCATAAGACAAGTGTTTATATTTTTGTAATCTACAGTAAATATTAACTATTGTTACCGAATTTCAAATCTGTATATGCAACATCTTTGGAGCTATGAATATCAAAATTTTGTTGACAGCCTTGTTTAGCAAAATGTTAAATTTCAAGATACTCTGATTTTAAAACTATTAAAGATACAGATCTAATATTTGAGATTCATCAGTAAACTTGATTGAGAAACACACATGAATTTTCCCAGATTTTTTTGAGATACTGTTGCCATTGGCTGATTTGAAATTGAATGACTCTGTGGCCAACTAATTTACTGTCTGTTAAAATTCCTGTTTATTGACACAGATTGTTAAGATTAAAAGTAATAATACAATGGAGAAAAGTTTGTAACAGAATAACAAAGGATTTTATTTGAATGAAAAAATATCAGAAAATATGATTGGATTGATTTAAGAAATGAACAAAATACATTTAAAAGTTTGCTCTTTATTTTGTTGAATTTGGTTTTGGCTTCTTTTGAATTTAAAAGTTGTTTTCATTTTGGCCTCTCTGATTTTATACAGTGATTCATTGACTTTGCTCCTTCAAGTTTTGCATAAAATGAAACTCAGTCCTGAAATTGTTGTCTTGTCTGAAATTTGAAATTTTCACATCTTAATTATCTTTTTCTGAATTCTTGAAAGTGAATTTGCTTGGTTTGTTAGCCTTCTATTCACCCTCAGTAATTGTACATGGCTTTTGTATTTCTTTATCAATTGTTGTCAAAATGCTTTTGTTTTCATTGTGAAATTTTCATTTTTTGAATTTGTTTATTTCAGATTTGATCCAAATCGTTTCAGTGATGAAGCTCTCAAGTCATCATCTTCTCCAACTGCATTTCAGCCTTTTGCATTTGCTGATAAACGCACACGTTTGGCCAGTGACCGGATCCAGCTCTATGCCAGCATTCATTTAGTTTATGTCCTTCGTAAATTCCGTCTTAGCTTGGTCAAAGGCCAAGTCGTCACACCAGTTTATGGACTTGTTACTCATCCAGATGATGAGATTTGGATTACAGCTGCAAAACTTCACAAATCATGACTTTAAATTTGTTTTTATTTTCAGATTTGATCAACTGAAAATGGATCTTAAGTTGAAGTTTTATAAAATCCAACTTGATTTTTCTCTTTTAATTTCTGAATTTAAATATTAAGTTCAAATTAAGATTCTAAAAACCTTTCTATAAAGTATGTTGCAATTTATTTGTGAAAGACAAGCTAATGATTTTGTGAAAATAATTTTTTTTTTTTTAATATAGCGTTAGAAACTGTTGTCGAAGTAAATGTAAGATGCAAAAAAATTCTTTCAGTCTTATTTTATTCATAGAAGTTTGACGTGATAATAAATATAAATACAAATTCCGCTTACCAATAATCAACATAAATTTGTGAAGGGACACTACTTTTGATATGCAAATGACAGATTTACTTCCCCTGAAATGTCTTTCCTCCCCCACCTCCACTCATACTCAATTTGTCAGATTAATATTTGATTGTTTCTTTACATGAGAAAAAAAATTAAAATATTTATAAAAGAAAAAATTTATAATTATGGCAAGTTTTTTTTTCATAGCATTCTTTAAAATTTTTAACCTTTTAGAATGTCCTTATTGTCTCCATATTTCCCTTTATATAATACCCATAATCTTTATTCTTATAGAATTGTAGACACTGCTTCTTACCCTCATAAACTAAAAAATTGCAGATTGCTGATGAAATATCAGGTGGATAGATTAGAAAAAGGATGATTTCTTTCATGTTAATTGTTGGTATCAGATTGGAAAAAAATGGTACCACATTTCTCATTAAAGAAAAACAAAAGGTTCACTATACGATTTGTTTTCATGACAAGGAGAAACTCATAAGAATTGTTGTATGAAGTAAAATCTGACAGTTTGCATTTATTTTTTTTTTTCTGAATTTTTTTTAATTCAAAGTGACTCTTTCTCTGCAAGCAATTATCCTATCAGGCATGACTTTACTTTTCATTAAGACATTTTGTTGACAGAACAAATCTTTAAACTCTGTCCTGCTCAGTTTATGAGTCCTTATTAATTCAATACATTTTCTCCATTTTCTTAAATTTTTTGGATGTAACAAAATAACAGTTTAATAACAATGTTCACATAATGATGTTTTCTATTAAATAATGTATTTTCACTTTATATGAAACAATATTTATTTATCAGCACTTTTTGATTTAAAAATATATTTTGTACTACGGAATTTTCTCTTCTAACCTCTCTCCATATTTTTCTATTAAAGAAAATGACATTCTTTAGAGATTCAAGATATGATCCTTTAAAACAATTTAACATTGGCTTGAACTTTTCATTTAATAATTTGAAAATTGTCAATTATTTAGTAAGAAAAACTCTAAAAAAAAATTTCTTCATTTATGTCACTGAATCATTTTATTAAAAAACAAAATTTTTTTTTTTTTTTTTTTTTTTTTCATAAGGTAAACATGCAAATTTTCTTAAAAAGAATCATTGGCAGTGGAAATTTTTACCCTAGACAGTATCTCTCCAGAGTAGTACAAAATACTTTGGTTGAATGTAAAATTTTTACTTTTGATATTTGACTCTTGTTCAAAAGAATGTATGCCATGTGAGTTGGTTAATGATTTTAAGGAGAAGAAAAAAGTAAATTCAAAATAAAGTGGAGGTAAACTTTCAACAGTTTCCTTTCTGATTTTTTGTTTTTAGTCAAATGCTGAAGAATGCTCAATTTGTTTTTTTTTTGAAGAGGATTCGGAAAAAAAAAAAAAATTCCTCTTTCACCATTTGTATAAATATTATGGAAGTTGAGGTCTGTTATATTTTGTGGGGGGGTGTTTTTTCTTTTTCTTTTATATTATTTAATTTTTTTGAAATAATTTCAGAATTAATTAAAAAAAGATGTCTGGTAAAAGGTCATCTCTGTAGAGCACTAAATTATCAAATTTAGTATTAATTCATTGTGAGGCTTAGATACTTAATACTGTATTCTGGTTTAATCCACATTATTATAAGGTATTTTTTAAAAATATTTTAATATTTTTATTTTTCACAGGTTTTGCTTTATCCATTAATTTGTAGAACTTAGAAAATTGCAGTGTTTAATCAATGATAGTAAAACTTGTGTGAGGTATTTGTTAATTTTTGCTTTTCTGTTCTCATTCTCCCTACTCCCAGGTGCTCAGTCATCTTTAACTGTTGTGTACAAATCTATGTCTCCTTTCCTTTTGAAACACTTTATTAGAAAATAATTAACAATTAACAATTAGAAATAAATCTCAACTAAAAACTTTGTGTAATAATACTTGTGAATTAAAGAAAAATGTATATTTTTTATTTTAGTGACCTTAAATATATCTCCAAAATATTACATTTATACATAGAAATATTTATACGCAATGACAAAATTGCTTCTCACTTGAAAGTTAAAGTTTACAAAAAACATGTCTTATTTCAAATGTTCAGAATATACTAAAATGCAGAATATAGTATTAAACAGAAGGATAGAACAGATTCATTTCTAAAATGGGAAATACTAAAAAAATGTAAATATAAAGCTGGCAACAAGTTCTGTATATTATGTATGGAGGAGAAGTTAGCAATTGCTACCTTCAACAAAAACCAGAGTTCAGAAATGCTTAATAGATGCTGGCATAGGAAAGCCTGGCTATTAGAATAAAGGTGAGTTTTTTTTTTTGTTTTTTTTTTTTTAGTCAGGTGTTTTATACCTTTTCAAGCTTATGCTAATTTTAGGTTTTAGCCATAATTTTATCAATAAATTTGTACCTCGTTAATTCCTCCTTAGCCAGTTCACCCTGATGATCCCATGTGGCGAAACATAGGTAGGTAGTACCTGGCTCATTAGGATTTGTTTTACTTTTGCTTTACTTATTACTCACTGGGTTTTTTTTTTGTTTTTTACCAGAGATTTAAGATACTGGACGATTTCTTTCACCCTGTTAGGAGGTTTCTGGTGCTTTCTTTTTTTTTCATTTTTTCTCGGGTGCCAATTTATTTGAAAATTGTGATATCCAAGTTTTTTCACCCACCGAGTTTAAATAGATTTACATTACGTTTAGCACTAGACCACTCTATCGAGAACTTTATTAAGTTAACTGTTATGGGACAAGTGAATTACTCTTAAAAATATCCCCTTACCCAATAAGCATTTGTACCAACTATGCTTAAAAAGATTGAATCTTTCATCTCTAACATGAGATGGAAAGCTCATTTCTTTCTAAATAACAGGATAAACCCTAAAGAAACCTTTAATAGTTACGGCTTTAACTTCAACGGCCACTCACCCTGTATTGAAGAATTAGATAACTTTGAAACTAATTTAATTGGATTAGTTAAAAGGATAAAATGTAAAAAAGTTAATAACAATATACAGCAGCAAATTAAAAAAGATTTGGGCAACATCAGAAGTAGTAAAGAAATATTTGTAAAGGCTGATAAATTTAGTCTTTTATATAAAATTAGTCCCAACAAATATAATAATATGATATATCTGGAGGTTATTAAGCATTATAAGAAAGCTGCTGAAAACTTAGAAGTGGGACCAAATAAGGAAGCTAGCAAATTTAATATGGATAATAAAATAGAAAAATTCAATATTAAACAATGCTTTATTACATTAAAGGACAATAAGCATAATTTTTATAGTAAACCCGAATACAGGCTAATCAACCCCACTAAAACACAAATGGGGAGAACTAGCAAAATAAAATCAACATATTGAATAAAATTTTCAATAGGAAATATTTTAAACAAAGTTACAGCTATATCCTGAATATGGCTAGTTTAATAAATGTAACTGTAGGAATAAAAACACCTGCACACTCAAGGGCAAGTGTCAACAAGAATGTGTTGTCTATAAAGTGGAATTTAGTAGAAATCAACCACCAATAACTGGAACAGTAAAATGTACGTAGGATCCAATGAAGGCAATTTTAAAAAGTACTACTATAATCATATAAGTAGCTTTAAGAATGAGACGTATAGGTATAACATTAGCTTATCTAAATACGTTTGGAGTATTAAACAGGAAGATAGAATGGATCCCATTCTAAAACATTGTAAATATAAAGCCAGCAACAAGTTCTGTATATTATGTATGGAGGAGAAGTTAGCAATAACTACCGTCAACAAACCAAAGATTGTAATAAACCAGAGGTCAGAAATCCTTAATAGATGTAAACATAGGAAAGCCTGGTTATTAGAATAAAAGTTTTTTTTTTTTTTTTTTTAGTCATGTTTTATATCTTTTTAAGCTTATGCTAATTTTAGGTTTTAGCCATAATTTTATCAGTAAATTTGTTCCTCATTAACTGCTTCTTAGCCAGTTCACCCTGATGATCCCATGTGATAAAACCTAGGTAGGTAGTACCTGGCTCATTAGGATTTATTTTACTTTTACTCTACTTAGTGTATTGAGCACTCTTCATTATTACTTGCTGGGTTTTTTTTTCTTTGTACCAGAGATTTAAGGTACTGGACAATTTCTTTTGCCCTGTTTGGAGGTTTCTGGTGCTTTCTTTTTTTTCCCATTTTTCCTTGAATGCCAATTTATTTTAAAAAATTTTCTATCCAGGTTTATTCACCCACTGAGTTTAAATATATTATATATATATATATATATATATATATATATATATATATATATATAAATTTGCTATCACAGAGAATTGGTTTAAAAAACATTGCTCAATGTCAAGCAGACAGAGCTCTCATATTAGTGAAAGCAAATTAAGAACTGTAAGTGCAACTGTTGGTTTTACATTTAGCTGATTATCAAGCACACCTAGTATGACCAGTGGGTGGTGTAGTGGATAGCTGGCCGGAAGTAGAAATTGGAAGCCGTGTTTGAATTCCAGTTGGGTTTGTTCCCCATTCACACTTCTGCACAAATACCCATGAATCCATATCCTCCTTCCCAGCTCTGGGCTACAATAATAATATGGGGAAAATAATTGTTATTCTCAAAAAATTGCTAAGCTGAAAAAAACGAAACAAAAATAAATTTATTTGCATTTATGTTGGA